AAGGATTGTTGTCGATAAAGTGGGCAGGACGTCGGCAAGACAAGTAAAATGACATTTACTGAACAGAGAAGAGATGAATGGCAACAAAACATGAAAATCTTGTATCACAACCATTATATACTGTACAAATAGATAATCTATTTTTCAGCCCCTCTGACCCCCTGTAAAATACCCTGATGTTGCTGTGAAATAGGGAAACTAGGAATACATTTTATGTGCGAAGGAGAGATGTCAATACAGCAAATGCAATGACAAGTTGCTTTATTGCTAGAGTTCATGTTATCAACTCAAATTGTCCAAATCACCCCCAAACACATTTCCATTGTTGTCAAATCCCTCGAGAAAACTAGAACAATGGCAAAAAGATGTTTGGAATGATCACATGGACAATAGGCCTCAGTATTACTAGATTATTCAAGATCAACTCAAAATGCTTACAAAAAATCTATAAMCAATTTAAATAACAATAGTTTTGAACTGAATAAATACTCATTTATGCAAAACTCTGTTTTAGACGCTATAGGTAAGGCTATTCAGTATAAAACACTTGGTAACAAATCGTCCATCATTCTTTAGAATTTGTCAATTTCCAGTTCWAAACGATAAAATTACCTTTACACCGACTCGTCCACATCCATTGAGATCATAAACAGGCTCAACCTCTTCTCCACAAATCACTTTWGTTGCCATGGAGACAAAGTCATGATCCAGGGTTTTAGAGACAAAAGGAAAAGAACGAGAAACCCTGAGATTGCATTCAATCACCTTGAGTTGATTGTCCTGGAAAAAAATGAAAAATGCTTGAATGGAAAAGAATAAGAATGTGATATAGCAATAGATTGGAGAATTAGGATAGGTATGATATTGGAATTAAATAAAACAGAACACAATGGAAAGGAATGGAAAATGAAATAGAATAGAATTTAGAATAGGAATAGTGTGGAATTGGTTAGATTACGTTATAATAGAATATTCAGATTAAAACAGAGTTGAGAATTAGGATAGGTATGATTTAAGGAATAAAAGACGAAATTCTGTGTTTGATACTCTGATCAAAACACGCGGGATGTAGGGAGAGCACGAGAGAAGCGTAGTATCCTAAGTATTTTAGAAATTGGAATTAAACAGAACAGAACATAATGGAAAGGAATAGAAAATGAAATAGAATAGAATGGAATAAAATATAAAACCCACCTTAGCTATAAGCTGCATGTTGAATGGCCCTGTTACTGACAAGGCTTCAGCAATAGAGTAGCATATTATACGTATTTTACTAATGGTTTCTTCATTCATATCTTGAGGGGGTAGAACCATTGTAGCATCACCTGAATGAACCCCTGCATTCTCAACGTGCTCYGAGATTGCCATTGCAATCACTTTACCATCGCATGCAACRGCATCAACATCAATCTCCTATAAATAACAATAATCAATACAATTATTACTACAACAATCTTATATCATGAGTTGTTCATGCATGCTTTTCATAATAGACTTTGTTTGTCCATGTTGTTTGTGCTGTTGAAAGGTCGCTGTCAATCCGTAGACAACACTGTATTAGGGRGAGAAGTGATGAAGGAACAACCAGGCAACATCATCTAAATTAACCCTATAGCATGATAAGTCACAAGGTTTTGGCCACGAYTGAAGAATGATTGCAAACCATAGGCACATCTTYTATTGCTAAACAGTGCACTCTATCCATACCTTAGCTTCTTGAATGAACTTAGAGATGACAACAGGCTGATCTCTGGATAAAAACACATCACTTGACAAGAAGCTGTCCACATCATTATCATTGTATGCAACWATCATAGCAGCACCACTCAATACGTAGGACGGACGGACAAGACATGGATAGCCTACTTTATGGCAGAACTCTTTAGCATTCTGAGGAGAACAAAATCATGATCACTGTCATTGTGTTTTAATTTATGGATTAACTTTATTTAATTCTATCGTTATATTAAATTTCACAATATTTTTTTAAGTTTGTCATCAATGAGTAAATTCAGACAGTGATCTCATAGTTGCACTGACTTCAAACTTGAAAATACAACAGAAGTTTGTGGGAGTGCTTCAATTGAAACAATTCAGAGATGCTAACAATTTCATTTCACTGAAGTCTGATGAACATGTCAATGTTTAGTTTTATAATTGACATTTAGACTCTCGTTGCAGACAGGGCCATAGTCTCCTTTAAAGTAATAGTCCCATTGAAGTACTGATAGTTCACCTTGATAGTTGTCAACTCCTTCCACTGTGGCTGTAAGATACCAATGTTGTCCAGCATTCTAGAGAACTTGAACCTGTTTTCAGCATTATCAATTGATTCAGGCGAAGTGCCCAATATCCTGGCCTGAACAAATACACACAAGGAAAAAAGGTTAAAAATAGAAAATAAAATAAATATAATGTAAATTTTGATGCATGTATCATGTGGAAACTAGTATTAAGTACATGTGAGTTGTTTTTATATTTTATGGGCCTATCGAARATGGATTCTTTGTGGATAATGGAATATAGCTCCACTATTAGGCAAGAAAAAGTACTGAGTCCATCTCCTAAGACAGAAAYATACAGTCTTTTGTTGTCTCTCTGATGAATGTCCCAACACCTGCTAATGGTCTACACTAAAAGGTCAAAATAATCATCCAATAAAAGCCATAATGCAAGTCTACATTTAATTGACTAAATACCAGCCAATCAAAGTGACACTGAAGAGGTACTTTACCTGTTGCCTATGCAACTGCATAGCAATATTATTGGGTAACTGTCCACCCATACTAAGAATGATTCCTTCTGGGTTCTCTTTTGTATAAATATCCATTACACTCTGTAAGAAAATGTAAAACACAAAGTTAATTATTTCTAGGTTTAGGACAACACACAAAATTTATCAGAAATCTGCTTTTAAACAATTTTGACTCTTACTTAATTTTGATTATTACGTTCAAGGTAGAGCAGATTTCATATGACTGTGCAAAAAAACATTGTACTTTCACGCTGTGACCGTACTGTGCCGTAGCCGTGATGTATTGTTAAATCTTTATTTTTATTTGGAATCCTAGAAGGCGAGGTTCCGTGCTGTGTCCATGTTGTGATCAGTGCCGTTGCAGAGTCATACAAAATGTGCTCTAATAAGTACTTTTAAAATTGTGTTATTGGAAAGGTTTTCACAAATATATAATGAAAGGTAACATTGGTAATCTGTTCCTGGACTACCAGAATGAAGATTGAAACCATTGGTTTTCAATTCCACGGTAATGTTAATATACCTTAACTACAACCAATATTGTTGTTCAGTTCCTATTAGTTAGCATAGTGGCAATAGTGGTTTGAAATGAGTAATCGTGTTTAGAAGATGATTAAATAAGCCCATCAAAAAAAAAAGAAAAAAAATTCATGCCATATAATAAAAAATAAAAAGCCATAATAGTTAATGAGCCAAGAGAAAACTTTGGAGAAACATGAATAGCAGAAACTATTGTCTTTTCACGAATGACTGAGCTTTATGCATGGCGCCTCGTCTTGATTCCTTTGTGTGTGACTACTGAGGCAAAATTTGCAAGTTGGCTATTGAACAATTTGCCAAACTTTCACATGATTTGYGAGTGAATTTTGTAGCTAATGAGAAATTAATTTGTACTCTTCAAAGAGAATATTAAACCTGACTTTCTTTTTCCCAATTTTTTAACCACTTCTATTGGCATCAAAACCAAACTAAACACTTTGAAATTGATAATCATTACAGCTCCTGAGTCAATAACTACATTGTACTCAAACACTGAAGATCTTATCTAGTCAAATTCCTGTTTTCAGAGTATCAGAGAGTCAGGCTCAAAATAGTCATAATGTGTCTTTTGGCTGACCCAAACAAACAGCTCAAAATCTTAACTGTTTCTAAATATATCCTTTTTTCAGCTATTTTTGTACCTTTGTATTAAAATTGTTTTTACAATGAAAAACACTCAGGATTTAGCACATTTTTCTCATGTTTTCCCAAATTCAAGCTTTTCTCGTTATTGCCAGTATTTTACAGCAAGCTTCTCACCTGCTATTTGAAAAGTAATAAATTTTATCTTCTTAAAGGTGTGCCTGCTTGTAAAGCTGGCTGATTCATTTGTTATATTGTTCTTGTGACAACATAAATTTTGCCTGCTAAACAAGAATGACTTCCTGTTACACATGACATGACCTGCTCACCTCAAATGAGACTTCATCAAAGTACAGTCGTTCACATTCATCATAGTCAGTGCTTACAGTCTCTGGATTATAATTCACCATTATTGTCTTCTTTCCCAGCTGAATGAATAATTCATTTTAATATAGGAAGATATTCCTTGCTGGCAGCTCTGCATCCGAACATACAACCCTTTATCATTGTTGATTAGTTAACAGGGTTTGTAGATCTGTACTCTATTATAGGAGTCMATTTCCATGACTTTTCCATGGTCATTTCATGACCAAAATATTGAGAGTTCACTTCATAAATACTAGCAATTCATTTCATGCATATGACCAATTTGGCAACATTTGATTGATCAGAACTTGCTAGTTCATAAAATATAATACRTTTGTTTGTGAATTAACAGTCAAATTATAATATGACAAACAAAACTTTCAATGACTTTCCATTGACCTTGACAAAGGCCAGGAAAACCAACAAAATTTTATGAATTTCCAGATTTTCCTGGACTCTTATGAACCCTGGTTTAAAGGGACATGGTCCACTAGCATACAATGCGGTCGTGTTTTAGATTTTTCATATATGGAAAATGAGGTGACTTCGAATATCCATTTGCAATCCGTTTCCATCCATCGGTTTAACGGTCGAATATAAATCTTAAAGCATCTCCATTCATATAGGATAAAGGAATAATAAAAAGTTTTTGCTTATATTAGAACGATTTCACATAACGATACAAAAAATGCAAATAGGTTTATCTTAATATGCAAATTTTATTGACTGTAAAATAAACTCATGTGATGATGCAATACATGCTTCATTTTCTCACTTATCACATCATTGTTTCCTATCTTATAATTAGATTTTATTGTTATTCATCACGAGCAAAACAAAACAGTTTTTATTGAGTCCACATATAATTACGGACTTGACTTTTTGTTGGCCATCCTTTGCTCGGCTTTCTCAAAAAAGTAGTTCACACGCAAGAGACACCCAAGGTGGTTACTCCCTCCTGCCATTGATCTTGTAGTATTTTTGGCCGAAAGAGGTGTCAACCTTTTTGAAAATATTTGAAGCTAAGCTTGTACTAGATGCTGCATGGTACAGTTCTGCATGTGCTACGATAAAAATCATAGCAAAGTTTGGCACAAAGACTGAAGCATGTCAAGTCTGCTCGGAAAATGAAATGTTCATGTTTTGTTGTGATGTAATGATAATATAAATAGCAAAAAAGCTGCAATAAGTGAGAGAATAGAGTCTGTATTGCATCATCACGTGAATTCATTTTACAGTTAATAAATTTGCATAAAATAAACCTATTTGCATTTTTTGTATTGTTATGTGAAATCGTTCTAGTATGATGTATTTCTATTTTCAAACATAAACAAAAGCTCGAAAGGGATGCTGGTGGACCATGTCCCTTTAGGTTTGCGCAAGCAGCAATGCAAATTATAGTAAATGAATTAACAMAAAAATAAATGGATGAATAAATCAAATCCATTCTGTAAGTCAAATGTAATCGAAACAGGTTTTTTTTTGTACCTTTCTGAGTTCTCTGATGCAACCAACAGCACAGCAGTCAAACTCCACACTACTTCCAATCCTGTACACGCCAGACCCTAGTACCATGACAGCATTCCCTTGGAAGTCAATATCATTCTCGGCAGCATTGTATGTTAARTATAAATAGTTTGTAAAGGCTGGATATTCTGCAGCMACCGTGTCAATTTGCTTGATGAATGGKGTGATTTTCATTTCATGTCGAAGGTGTCTTACCGCAAGTTCAGTGCTAAAGAAGAGAAATAAAATTATCATTCACTTTTCTTCATCAATTTTTCTGTTGTTGCTTTCATTAATGCATTTGCAGATCTATAAATACTAGTCAGAATAGATAAGGATTTTAATGTTGTGGAAGATTTTACATTCCAGATACCAAGCACATTAAAAAAATCAAATTCTTTGCTATTATGGAATAACATAGAACATGCTGTACATGCAGGAATCTTTTACCTGTGAATACATTTAGCAATTTGCTTATCAGAAAAGCCCAGTTGCTTAGCCTTCATCATGTGCTCATACGTGATTTCTGGAGCCTAACAAGAACATGCCAACAAAATGTGTGATTATAATACTCAAGACAGTAWCCTAAACATAACAAAGTGCAAGTAAAAAGTGCATGTTGTGAATACTAATACTACCTTTTCTGTAGAAGYAAAKGGTGCATGTACTGATGATCCCTGTGAAGTGCATTGGTGAAAATCATGACATAACTATATTGCAACATTAGCAATAACTACTGAAGAGTAGTTAATATTATGAGTTAGGGTTAGGGTTAAAATGTTACAGTGCACATTACTTCATGAAAAGCTTTGTGTATAAAACAAATGGTGCAATAAAATTGTTTTGAAACAGTACTGAAACTGTTTTCATGTGTGTTATAGTACATTCAACAAAATAATATCATTGGTCGAGAGGAGCACAATTGTAAAATTTTGTTTCACTGCATGTATTATAAACAAAAAAAACACACAACCTCTCATACAATTTGCAATTAATAGTCACTCGTAATGTTTTGAAAGTTCTCAAATTGCAATTATGAAGAACTTTCAAAACATTACTTGTGACTATTAATTCTAAATTGTACGAGAGGTTGTGTGTTTTCCTATACTAATAGGAGTCCATGCTGTGAAATTGAGAAATAATTAGATGAGGGAAATTCTGACAGCCGAAACTGGACTTGACAGTCAGAGGCTTTTTTCAAATCTAATTATTTCTTGACTGGACAGAATATACACCTATTATTCCTAATTGTGTAATAAGGGAATTAATTGGACAGGTACCTATTTAGGATGAGTGGATATTATGTGTGAAAGTCTGGAACATATTGTTGACAATCAATTAACAATGACTTACTGCAGTAGTTGAACCATCTGTCCTGTACGACTTGAGTAATGTATTGTAATCAGTAATGCATTTCATGCGACTCAAGAACCACYTGTCAATCTTTGTCAGTTCATACAGCTTGTCAATATTATATCCATTCTTTAAAGCTGCCGCAAGGACATGGATTCGYTGGTCAGATGGCTCCTTGAGTTCCTACAAGAAATATTTGTTCACAAATTTCAAAGTTCGCAATGGAGACAAGAATATTGGTACTGCTATTATATAGAAGATATTACATACATGGACGCCTGGAGATACAGATTTTATCTTCGAGTGTTAAAAAGACCTCTCACAAGTGAGTGTAGCAAAATATATTAAAGCAAATTGTCACAAAATATCTTTTTTTTATTCCAATATATAGAGAACCCTCGAAGGTGCTATGTTCACTAGTGAAAATAGYAATTTTTTGAAAGCTTACAGTAGACCAGAAATGTTTGAACAYAATGCTATCAAACACTGCTGGGTGATCCAACATGGTACGACCATCAAACAAATTGTAAGGTGATCAAACACCTTCAAACYGCACCCAAAAAATAGGTGTTCAATCCAAATGGCAAATRTCTTGAGCTGGCCCACAATGTTTGACAATGCTTGATATAACACTTATTCATTTGTGACAGTATACTGTAMGTACTTACCAAGTCATCTGGAAGATGCTTGTGAGAATCAAAGCCAAGATTGCCTTCATCAACCATTCTGAGTGCCTTTTGTAGRGCTTCTTCAAATTTTCTCCCAATGGCCATCACTTCCCCCACACTCTTCATGCAGCTACCAATCTTGGGACAAAAAAACATTTCACATTTATAGAGCTATTTCAGAAAATTTTGAAATCAGAAGATAGTTTAGAGAGACATGATGTTGTTGTTAAGGAATCGGTCTACAAGCCTGGTTTGATTTCTAGACAGGGCGAAGTCCTCTACTCTCCCAATGCCTCATTTTCTTGGAAAAGGACGTAAAGAYGGAGATCCCATCAGGAAAATATTGTTATTGATCACCAACATRGCATGTTAATACTAATCATACAATGCACCATGAGAGCTTCACAATGTATCATTACATCATCAACAATTGTTATACATATAGGTTGCTACCCAATCTGCTAACATTGTTTCAGCTCTAAAAATCAYRTACCTTTGTACTGACACGACTGAACTTCCTGAGATCCCAACGAGGAATCTTTACAACAACGTAATCAAGACTTGGYTCAAAGCAYGCAGTTGTTTTATTGGTCACAGAGTTACGAAGCTCAGGCAAAGGTTTACCCAGAGCAAGCTTTGCTGCAACATAAGCTAGTGGGTACCCTGTGGCTTTTGATGCCAAGGCTGAGCTGCGAGATAGACGGGCATTGACCTCAATGATGTAGTACTGSAATGAAACAAATAGAAGTTAGATAAAAATATGTATATCAAATATGGATAATTATATCTAACACACATAACATGCAAAAAAAAACACAACTTACATGACAAAAAATAACATAACAAAAATAACATGATATAGCAAAAAATAACAACAACAACAAAAAAACATGACAAAAAAACATAACATATCAAAACAAAACAACAGGTAGACAAAATTAAAATACAGTACCAAAAATAGTACATTTTATTCATGAATTCATTTTGTACTTCAAAAGGCTTTACTCACATCTTTATTGTCGGGATTCAAAGCATATTGAATGTTACATTCTCCTACCACACCTAAATGACGTATAACYTTGATAGCTGTGCTACGCAACATGTTATATTCATCATTAGTCAGTGTCTGACTTGGAGCAACCACTATTGACTCTCCTGTGTGGATCCCTAAAGGATCTACATTCTCCATATTACAAACCTGAACAAAGAAAAAGAGAATATGATGTACTTTTAACACTTATATGTATAATGCATTGATAGAAAAAATTTTAATTTTTCAAATTACTGTATCTATCAGCATTTAGTTGAGCATAGATTAACACTGTTTTCACTAGTGGCAAAAACACTACTACATGTATTATCTACATGCAGTAGCAAAATAAATACTATATGATCAAGTTCAGGGAAAAAAAAAAACAATGGACAAAATGACCTGCAAAGTTCAATGCATATTTTGTGTAAAAGTAAGCAACAGAGATTTTAGAGGATGTTCATTGACCATCCTTTGTTTTTTGCCCTGATGTACAAGCAACACAGTACATTAACTTACAGTAATGCAGTTATCATAGCCATCTCTGACCACTTCATACTCTACTTCTTTCCATCCTTTCAATGATTTGTCAATGATGACTTGCTTGGTRTTGGCAAAAGCAACAGACACCAGTGCGACAAGCTCTTCCTTGTTGTCAGCAAAGCCAGAGCCTGCACCTCCAAGTGCAAATGCTGCTCGCACCATGACAGGRTAGCCTATCCTTTCAGCTGCTGCTATGGCCTGGAATAATGGTGATCACATATCAGGTAAGCAATAACAAACAGATTTATCATGTGAGAGAAAAATTGTTGAATAAAGGCACTTTACAATTTCTTTTSAAAGGACTAAAGGCTGATTTACACGACACGATTGTCTCGTGCGATTTGTAGTATACGACTTGAATCGCGCAGTGTAAATGCCCCTACGACTTGCGTACAGTTGTACGCAACTACAACTTGTAGTAGGATTTTGAACCACTGCTTAAAATCCTACGACTTGTAGTAGGAAAATCGTATACTACAAGTCGTACGCGACAAATCGTACCGTGTAAATCAGCCTTAAAAAACCTGGCCCAGAGAACTGTTAGGCCTTAGGATAGTAACAGTACTAGTTATCTTTGCTAAGCGCAAAAGAAAATTTGCTACAAATCTAGTCTCATCTATGGACAAGTTTGTTTCTAGCTGCATGTATTTAGCTCATACCTGATCTACTGAGAAAGCTGGTTCACTAGGAGCAACCAGTTCTTTGATTTCCTTCATCTTCTGTGCAAACTGTTGCCTGTCTTCTGTGGCAACAATAGAGCTGACAGGAGTACCCAGCACTTTGACAYCAAACYTTTCCAAAACACCTTTGTCTCTTAGTGCTATTCCACAGTTCAATGCCGTCTGGCCACCAAAACCCAGTAGAATCCCTCCTGGAAGCTCACTCTCAATWACCTAAAAACAAYRCACGATAAAAACACAAATAACCACAAAAGATTGACTGTCAATARGCTGACTAACTAAACAYGAAACATGWAGTCTTGTCCACAGTTCTATAGTGTGYRGTCTTTCATCCAGAATATCAAGTATGGAGTGTTTGGGTAATCAAATTTATAATCCTATAAACCCTGTTACAGACTAACATTAGACAAACTTGCACCTTAGAAACAAAGCAAATCATAGCAACCCCAGYCAGTTTAARTGTTTGCATTATCAWTACATTGCAGTGCTAGTAGTGTTTGAACCAATCTTACCTGTGTGACATAATCCACTGTGATTGGCAAGAAATAAACTTTGTCTGCAAGACCTTTGGTTGTTTGTACTGTTGCAATGTTAGGGTTGACCAAGACAGTCTGAATGCCTTCTTCTTTTAATGCTTTGATGGCCTATAAAATACATATTCAATATGTAGAATATTATGACAACTTATTCTAAAAAAAAAACCTGTACTGGTTGAACGTTATTGTTGGTCATATTGACAAAAATCTTAGCTGTGATMAATTTTGGCTGAGATAATATCACATAGCTTGATATCATTGCTGTGATGAAAGTTTTGGTCGAGACATTATCATGATGAGAATAGAAAAGCTAAAATAAATTACAAAACAGACAAGAAGTATGCTTCATTATTTCTT